GTTAATAATTCAAAGGATGCGAGGGCTTTATTTACAACACATCAAAAAATGCAGACAAAAATCTTTCAGAAGTGGCTAATATCAGCACGGAACAGCCAGAACCCAATATGTTCAATAACGATAAGAACACACAGGGGGTAAGAGCAGAGACATAATTCAGTGTGAGGACGCAATGCGGTAGAACTTGAAATATAAGGCAGCTGGAACAGAAAACGGTTTGATCTTTCATCAGAGCAGTAAACTAACACCAACAGACCTACAGTCCTGTAAATGGACAGCATTGGTTTGTGGTTGCCACTTAGCAGCTACAGCGTTTACATTCATCCTTGTTTAAAAACACAATAAAATACAAGATTCACTTCATCTATTCTCCTCCTAGCATTTTACTTTTTGACAAGTTGAGGTAAGAAGAAGTGCGCTCAACGTGTCGCTCAGTCACGAGCTTCACTAAACTTCAGAAAGCTATTTGTTCATCCAGAGGGACAGAATTCCACCGTAACTGTTTTTTTTTAGAGGAGAAGGGCTACAGAGGACCGGGATCGGTCACTCGTCCAGAGTGACGGGCATGGGGTTGTCGTACGCTGCCGCCTCCAGGTCCTTCGCTTGTTTCCTGCGCAGCTCTGCAGGAGGCCTTGGCGGTGGATTCTGAGGAGGGTTCTTGATGCTCTGTGCAACCGGCTTCCGGGTTTCCTTCTTCGGAAGAATGGGCTCCCAGTGTTCGCCTCGGATGGCTGCCTGCAGAGCAAGAAGATAACAAGTCAGTGCTGGTCTGTTTACGTGAAGCATGACTGGAAGTAGTGGTTGAAATCTGAAAAGTGATAAAAAGGACGACGATAACCACTGGTCCTTATCTTAATTGTGCACAGAAAATGAGAGCAGAGCTTCCTGGAACGCTTCCTAAGCTTAGTTTCCTCATTTAGAGCTGTTGACGAATGTAGTCACACCCCTAACTGGTCAGATTTCATAACAGGTTTCATAGCCATGTCTCAACAGAGATAATGAAACAATCTCTTCCTTGTTTCCGTAAGCTGGCCACTTCCTACCTCGGCTAACAACTTTATCTCTCGCTTCACTTGCCAGACTGGAGAATAATGTGGAAAGAAAATCTTCCAACTCACTGCGAGGTAAATTAGGCTGGCAATGCCCAAGCAGACACATCCGAGGACCGTGGCGAGCATGAAACCTCCAGGTACGCAGATTCTGAGGAAAAAAGAAAAAAAACCCAATGGGATCAAGAGGACAAAAGACTGTAATGACAAATCACCGGCGTTTTGTTTGAGAGACTTATTGTGAGAAAGAGGAATGCTGTCTAGCAAAGGAAAGAGACAATGAACTCACGCGGCATGCAGAAACGCTCTGACGTAGTAGTTCCTCGTCAGCGGGCCGAAGGCTTTTACGCACACTGTGAAGCAGTACTGACCCCTGAAAAAAAGAAATAAAACACAAGAGTGAGAAATAAACTCCACAAAACTCGTCCAGCTTATGTGCAGCAAGAACATTCAGTTGTATCGCTTACGTTCTCGCCACACTCGTCCCCTTGGCCCTCTTGCTTCTGGGATACTCGAGTAGACACACAAACGCTCCGGCAGCGCTAGTGATCCGTCAAGGCATCAATAATATTCTACACATCATCATCATCAGAACCCTCAGCTCACACGCAAAGCAGAATCAAAACAAGCCAGTTAACTATGAAAGGACATTAAATAAAACATTAGTGACCCTGAGTGGGTGTAAAGTGTTTCTACCTTCTCGTGCTTTCGTCATAAAGCATTTTCTTGTGTTCGAATGGAAACAGACACGCTTCAGCAGCAGCTGAACCCAATAATTAATCCAGGTTTGACTGTTGACTTGCCTCATCGCTGTGCTCAGCCAGCTGTCTGATTAGTCACAGGGTTTTAATGCTGTTTTTGTTGTTTCTTCAGCAGGCATTAGAGTTTAAAACAGTCGGTATGGATGACTTTGTACAAGCACAGGCTTCAGTTTACTCAACTACACGTCACCCATCTGCTACACACATAGATGTAGCGGCTGTATGTAGTAGTTAATCACTTAATTTCCCATCTTCAACCACCTGCTCTTGTTCAAATGCACATGTGAGCACTTTACGAGCAAAGAAAAACAAACTATTTCCTTGTATGTGCGCACGTACGTGTCTCATAAAGCTGATTGTGACCCACATGTATGTGCAGGTTTGTGATTTAGAAATCAAACACAGCATGCTGTTGTGCTGAAGACTGTAAAATGAGGTTAAATAAGGGGAAAACCAGATGATAATTTAAATTGAAACTCGTTGACAAGCATGAAGGATACACAGCGTATGCAGCAAACTGCCAGCCTCTGAACTGTCCGGCCACCCCCACAACTCCTCCAGTGAGGAGAACTGAAAGAAGGAAGCAGGAATATATTATTAAAAAACAAAAAATACAGCTTTTAAAATAGACACAGAGCCAAAACCAAGACATTTACACTGAAGTCAAACAAGAGAAGGAAGCTCAAAGTGCTGCGTTACTCCCAATGAACAGTTTAAATTAAACTGCTCATCTAAGACATTAATTTCTAAGAAACTAAGTAAAAACCTCCTCGTTTTCATATTTTTAAAAAGCTGGTGTACTCACTGAGGCCGGCTGCCAGCGCCTGCTCATTGGCCCACATCGCCCACTCGATTTGCCCCATTGGTTTCACCTGAACAGCTCCACTGCAGATCAAACTCTCCCGGCAAAGGCTCACGACTTCAGTGGTTTCTACGAGGAAGAAAGTGGTGTTTTGAAGAGATGTGAGGTATGTGGACGGGCAGGAGGCAGGGCTAATGCTGGCCAACCCTTATTTCAGTCGTCACTTCCTGAAAAAAATGCAGCAGCAGAGGCAGAGCTGATAATCCAACCCACCGCTCAGGTAATACCAGGACACACCTGGGCTCAGTCATAGCCTGCAGGTAGGCCAAAGAGGACGTGCTTGTCCGACTGCAGGAGGCCATTACGGAGTTTGAGCTCTTCAACGGGTGTATTTATAGTTGCAGGTTTAATTTTATTATATTTATTGTGCTTTACATGTCATTGAGATGAGCTTAGCTTTAAAGTTAGCATGCCAGCTTGTTAAGAACTTTAATGGTTGTCCCTACACTGTAAAAAAAAAAAAAAAAAGCTTGTCTTATTTAATTGAACAGCTTATAACTTATTTAACATTTTCTTTAACAGATACTAACTGCTAAAATAACTGAGGGGGAAAAAAAAACATTAAAACACAAGCCAGACTGTGAATATTAATAATAAAAGAAATCTGTTTTTATTCTTGTAAATTGTGTTTTTCTTTTACAATGCGAGGCCTTGAAATGATACTATTTCACTGCACTTAAATCAGCTAAAAAAAATATTATTTGACAGACATTTGTTGTTATTTTCACAATTTTTAGCTTATTTTTTCAGGACCCCTTTTACATATATATATAGATAGATAGATAGATAGATAGATAGATAGATACTTTATTCATCTCCAAGAGAAATTTACAGTTCCAGCAGCTTCCAAGAAGGGAACACAGGGGCATGCAGTGTTCTAGTACAATAAAATAAAATAAAATAAAATAAAATAAAATATTTTAACAGTATAGGCCAAAAAAAGCATACTTGAATGTGATAATGAAATGACAAAAGACAAACAACAATTATCTTGACTAAAATATATTTTTATTTAATTTTACACGATAGACTTGTCAGAATTAAATTATATTCTGTATCTGTTTAACAAGATGAAGAAACAAACAAAAAAACAAACTCCCATCAACACAGATACACAAATCCTGATTTTTGCTCAGGTGGGTCAGACAGACCAGGTCAGCTGCAACGGTGAATCACTCAGTACCAGAGTATTCATTTGCTACCTGAGAGTTGAGCGCATGCCCAAGTTTACAAATGAACCCATTAGACGCCTTTAAAACAGCATCTGTGAACCAGTGGAGCTCGATACCTGACTGAAATGAGACCATTAATATCCACAATGGTGAGGGAGGTGCGTGGTCGTTTTCATTTGTAAAAAGAAAACGAGTTCTGATTATCTGATCACGTTAATGCTGCTCAAGTGGCCTCAGTATTGCTCAGTAGAACTTGTGTCTCCAGGACTGCAGGGCATCACATGGTTTTCTTGGGCAATCCATCAGATGAAAGCAGGTGCTGAGTGGGATCCTCGACAACACAAGGACCAGGTCCAGCCTGAAACGCAAACACAACAAATCACTGGTTACTCTTCCTCTCTCTGTCCGTGTTAACATTCATACATGTCTCTGCATTCCTTGCAGTAAATCAGAGGATCTACAGTTGATCACAGCTCTGTTGTATTAAACTGAAGAAGTGCAGCACGTTATGCAAAAGCATGTTAGAAGGAAATGTAGACATAAATGTAAACTCGTCTTGCAATCCCACAACTGACGCATCGCTTCTTTATACAGTATGTTGTGCAACTCTATCGTAGCCACATCAAGGCATTTAGATGCAGGACAGATAACTCTGATTTTCATTTGCTGTTAAAGTGAACTGATAAACAAACTACCTTGGTACTGATGATGTAGTTTATTCCCTTTGGCATTGGCTCCAGACCGACGCCCCTTCTCAGCTCCTCAGAAAGAGCAGCACGGCCGACAGGAAGACCCTGAATGAAGCTGCAGAGAAGGAGGAAACAGTCGGTGACACACCTGAAAGGCGTTAAAGGCAAACAAACCGCTTGTATAATAAGTAAATGTGAACTTCAGCAGTCTGCTGGGAGGTCCAGGCCTTCGTCACTTGGTTTTTAAACTGTGTTTAAACAATTCACAGGTGGTCTCCGTTCAAGTTTCACAGTGAAACAGCCGGACGCTTTTGTAAATGAGGTTTCAGTTCTTCATTTTTGATAAATGTAAAAAAAATAAAAAAGTTTTAATCAAATCAAACTTTATTTATGCAGCACTTTTCATACAACAGAGCAACGTAAAGTGCTTTATAGCATTTAAAAACACTGTCAAAGAAAAAAACAAGAAAACCCCGTCCTCCCTACCTTCCATGTACACACACTTTCTGTCTCTGAACAAAAACTAAACTTATTTGGTCAGCAAAATCTGCTGGATGGATATGACAGCGCTACTGGCACCCTTATGCCCTGCTGTCATCCTGATGCAAGGAACCCTGGAGTCCTTTTTTAAAGTAATTTTAGGTTTAAGAAACAAATTTCCTCCATAGTCAAAATTAACTTTTTCCAATTAAGGTTGTTGGCAAAAGCAAAGACATATCTTCCAAGAAATTACTTTGGAACAGTGATTCATACTTTTATTACTTCACGCTTGGATTATTGCAGCTCATTGTTTGTTGGCCTTGACCAGACGGCACTGTGCTGTTTGCAGGTCGTCCAAAATGCTGCTGCCCGCTTGCTGACTGGAATGAAAAGGCACGAGCACATTACTCCCGTCCTTGCATCTTTGCACTGGTTGGCCATCAAATTTAGGATCCATTTTAAAGTCTTTTTAATTGTTTTTAAATGTGTAAATGGTTTGGCACCACCATATTTATCAGAGCTTGTACAGCTGCACACCACTAATAGGTGAACAAACCAGCTGCTCATAGCAGTACCTCAGTCCAGGCTCGAGGAGCGAGAGCCTTCTCAATAGCAGCCCCTAAGCGGTGGAGCAGCTACCTGTCCAGCTTAGAGCAGCACAGTCAATAGAAAATTTTAAAAGACTCCTAAAAACACATCTTTTCTCCTTGGCATTCACTCCCAGCTCGGCGTGCAATCTTGGCTTTCTCTATCTCTTTTTTTAATTCTCTTTTACTTTCTCTTATTCTAAATGTTGTTTTTAAAGACTTCTTAGTATATTTTGTATTGTTTTGTTTTTATTATCGTGTTTATGATAAATTATGTCTTCTTTATGTACAGCACTTTGGTCGACTGTGATCGTTTTTTAAATGTGCGCTATAAATAAAACTTTGACTTGACTTGACTTGATACACACACACACACATACACAGCACTGAGGCTCGTTGAAATCTCCACCACTGGGGCCGTCCACACCGGGCGGAGTCGCAGGCCTTGACCACTGGGGGTGCCCCGGGACGCCCAACCCCAGCAGACAAGGGGACCCCCACACCAAGGTGGGGAGCCCCCCATCCAGCTGGGCCGAAGGGACCCGCGGACAGCACCCCCAGCAGCAGACCGGACCCAGTGTGGAGGACCCCTCTAAGGAAACACTGGAGTTAAAACCTTTAAAATATAAAAGGCCCTATGTAAGATAAAATGAAAAGTAAAAAGAGTAAAATACATAAGATAATAAATAAATAAATAAATAAATGATAAGGATGTAAAAAGAATTTAAAAGGTGAATGAAAAGCCTGATTAAAAAGGTGCGTCTTTAACCTTCTTTTAAAAACATCGACAGTCTCTGCAGTTGTA